TTTTTTTTATAAAATTTCAAATTTTTCTTGTGAAATATTTTTCGTTTTGGGGAAAACCTACAAGTTTTGAATCACTGTGCAGTGTACGTCCGACCTCTTAGCCTAAATGATCAAATATTGAAAAATATTTTTGAGAAATTAGGAGCGTTTTATGTGCTATTTAGGGCCACCACATTATAGAACTGCTTTTCGCCTGATTATCAATTTTCTCTTTTGTGATGGTGATTATGTCAATGCATTCACTGGTGGGGGCTTACCTAGAGGTAATATGTCGCGGTCTCATGAGCACATGCTTGCATACGACTTCAAGCAGCCTTGTTCGGTTCATCTCATTTCCCGGATTGCGGTAATGTTACGTCTTGTATGTCCTTCCTTCCAGGTACATATCCGTAAATTGTGCTCACCATTACATAATTAAAGTTTACGTGCATTGAAAAAAAAAAAAAATTAATAAATAGATTCGCGAGATCCCACCGTCGTGAATGATTTATTATATCATCTTATGTCATGGGAAATCAGCAAATTAAAAATAGTCACAAAATAAATCCAAAAAGCGTAAAGTCTAAAACATTAATTAGTCAACATTTTAACATTAGTATGAAATAAAAAAAAAAAAAAACACATAAAAAGTAAACATAACTCAAATGAAGTTCATAGTCATGTATGTATTTAAAAGATGTTATAAAAATATTTATGAAGCTTTGCCGAAAGACAGTGAAAAGAGAATATAAAAAAAAGCAAACCACCACGTAACTTTTTTGTATGTGAACGTATGTTTGTTCATTTGTATGGATGTCTGTCTATGAATCTGCAGGTAAATCGTAATATGACTAATCGTAGCGAGAAATAAATAAACAAAAACTCAAAAAACCGTTTCAATATTTGGTTATTCATAAGGTGTTTCGGCACGCAACGCTACTGGGCAGAGACTCAAGCGTTCAGCACACACACACTTACATACGCTCAATTATAAAATATTCGTAAGCGTATTTTATTAGGTCATAAATTTGTATAATAATTTTTACTGTTAGGAAATTAGGGCGTGATTACTTGTCCTTGAAACTTTAAATTAATGCAATGGGGAAAATGACAATTGATTGCCGTTTATATGGTATTCCTTCCACCCTTCAATCATTTTACATTTTTTTTTTCGATATACCAGATTCTTTTAAAAACGATTGCATTTGTTAGCATCTGCACTGTGCAAACATACATTAAGACAGTTCTGCAAAAACCGGAACCTTTATTTAACAAAATACCACTACAAAACTTCTTAGTATTTTTTGGCTTTACTAAAAATTCTACACAAAAGTAATACATAGAAGTTCTGAAAATTCTGACAATTTGTATAAAGAATCCCAAAAGTTCTGAAAAATAAAAACAGCCTTAAAAACCCCCAAAGTTTTCAAAAATTCCATAAAATAACAAACGATAAATCCTCCAAGTCTCTAAAAATCCGGAGAAAATTTTGAAAAATCCTGAAAATAACAAAGCATTTCTTGTACGGGCGTTGTCAGTCCCCAGAGTTGTTACGTATTTCAAATACAATATTTGCATATAACTTCACTTTTGTGTACAGATATTGCGTTCAGGCGGATGTATGAAAGATGAAAGGCTTTGAGGGCGCCTACGAACAATCGTGGCTACAAATATGCAAGAAGTGGTCGTAATTTGTTGAAACTTTACTCCCACAAAGATAACTTCACAGTGATTTCAAAACTGAAATCGGGTTTTTGTACCGGCCACCAATTTCGAAAAACCCGGGTTTTGGTACCGGTTACCAATTTTCAGAAAGGCTTAGTGATCACGCTCACTACTTTTATTATGTTTATTTCAAAATTGAAGTATTTTTTTTGGACCAGTTACCAATTTCGAAAAATCCGAGTTTTAAACACCGGTTACCGATTTCGTAAAAAGCGGAGTTGCCCCGCCCCTTTTTTAAATGTATTAAGCTAAGTATGCAGCTCTTAAGAAAAAGGTCAAGAAAAAAATTGCCATTATTTCGTGTGTGTGTGTCCAAGGAATTTTGACATCTGCTATATTTCACAGCCTGTGGCCTCACTCTTTCCTCAAGAAATAATGGAAGGCCATATATTTCTGTTGCAAACATGGGTTGCTTTGTGCTTTTTTTTCACAAAGAAAAAAAACTTTAGAAAACGGTGGTAGAAAGCGTAGCAAAAAAAAAGGAAAATAAGCGTAGCTACTGCCACGATTGACAGATTCTTTGAATCTCAAAAATCATTCAAACGAATCTCTTCATAACATTGCTAAACGTATTGTTCATCGTATTATTAAGAAAAGTGTTGGAAAATTTTGAAATCGGTTAATAACCACGCCCACTTACCAAATTACATTATTTTTCAAAAAATGGAAACTGAAATATTTCAATAATAACTAAACTGATATAAAGAGACATCTTTAAATATACGCTGTAATATTGCAGGGAGATCAAGCAATTTATGATTCTTATTACGGTCTCATTTGGCTTGTAAATAATCATTTGTCCTTTGTAAATAAATTTTTTTTTAAGTCTAATAGAGACAAAATGAAAAAGTACGTTACTTTTCGTGACATTGAGTTTCGGTAAACAAATTTTCAGAGTTCGTTTGCTTTCAAGGAAATTATTTCAGCATTATAATATACAACGAGATTATTTTTAGTGGAATGCTTGTTAATAATGCACATTCGATTTTGGTATACTTAGTTTGGTTCTCGTGTTTACCAGAATTTTTTAAAGTCTGCTTAGAAATTGTCCGCATTTCATTCCGCATACGTTATTGAAACCTAAAAATGAGTCCAATCCAACTGATTGAATATTTCTGTGAAATTACATCGAAGTGATTTTGAAAAATCTTAAGAAAATTCATAACTTCCGAAATTGTCTATTGTCGAAGTGAAAAAAATAATAAAAATTTGAGTAAACTTCAGACTTATTCCAAAAATTTTCCACACATTTACAATGTGCTCACAAAACTTGTTATTTTTTTAAATAGTACAAATATTTTTCTTTCCACATTTTATAAAGGGAAATAAAATAGATAAAAATAACCGAGTTAAAAATTGTTTAGTGCGGGAAGTCATGTAAAAATGTTTTTTGCGGGAGTTCAAAAATTTTAAACGCAGTTTCGTGAATTACTCGACCAGTCCTACGATCTGTACTAGGTCATTTAAAAAGTTCATGATCAGTGTAACATCGTGTAATCAAGACTACAAATTTCATAGTCATAACAGTAAAAATACATATTGTCGATGTTTTGGCAAAACCGCCCATCGATCAATTGCAAAACCACCTAAATCTCCATTGTGACAAAAATGAGATTTGGGTACCTTGAACTCCAGACATCGAGATTTATGCATAAGAATCGTAAAATCGTTATTAAAACAACAGATTTGTAAAACACTAGCTAGAGAATATACCGCCTAGCAAGGCAATGCCTTAAAAGAAAATTCGAGTGAGGTAAGATACGCCGTTTTGCAATTGGGCGATGGGCGGTTTTGCAAAAACATATATAGCACGCCATTTCAATGTGATATTGTGTGCCACTTATGTTTATTTATTTATTTTTAAGAATTTTCAATTAAAATATAGGTCTTTGTCTAACAAAACCCATATAAACCCAAGTTTACCAATTGGTCTGATAATGTGCAAGTTTCAAGTGGCTAAAGATTACCGTTGATTTTTTAGAATTTTTTTCGCCAAAAGTGTTGCGGTTTTCTTCCATATACAAATAAATTGAGTTTATTCATTATATGGAAGCCAATGCGACAAAAAAAAATTCTAAAAAATTAACGGTAATTCGTAGCCACTTAAAATTTGCACATTATCAGACTAAAATTGCAGGGGCTAAAAAACTGTGTACTCAAAAAAATTCTAACACTTCCGAGAAAAAAGTTTGAAATTTACGTGAAATTTTGTTGCACTTTTTTGAAGTTTTCTACAAATTGTTAATCTTGGGTATATATGGGGTTTGTCTGAGAATGAACTAAATTTTAATTGAAAATTCTTAAAAATAAATAAATAAACATAAGTGGCACACAATATCACTTTGAAATGGCGTGCTATAGATATGACCGATACTGTATTTCTTGCTGATCAATCAACGGTTGCTTGGCCTACGGTATTCGATACTACACATGTATGTATGTATGTATTCGGATTTTTATCGGACTAATGACTGAACTTGGAGGTCTTGTTTATATTTCATTATGAATATTTTAATCTTCAACAGGTGTGCGTGTTTTTCAACAAAGCTATGCAACAAAAAAATTTCTTTGCCCAACAAACATGTGGAATTCACACGTATGAAACTACTAAATTTACGGTTGTTGGTAAAGGCTAAAAATTTAGAATACACACATACAGTAACTCAAAAACGTGACCACGTATTGATATTTTGTTTAATATTCACAATTGGCCCTATTACACTGAGAAAAAATCAACCAAAAAATTGGTTAATATTACCAAATTCAAACAATGTGAATTTTGGTTTATATTTACAATGCCATGGTTGATACTTTCACCAATGATTTGGTAATATTAACCACACTTTTATTTACATTAAACAAATTTTTGGTTGCCGATTTTTTCGTACGAATACACCTATGTTCGACACTTTAGAGATGCTTTTTCACAATTCGGATACAAAATAGTTTTTTTTTTTCGCACAATTTTATTTTAGATTAGGGGGAAATATACATTAGATTAAAATTGCTCCATATTTTCATTTCACTAATTTTGCTTCACCTAATCATAATCTTTAACACCACTTTGTTTACATTTGAATTTGAAACATAGTCTTATTTTTTAACACCTACAAATTCTTGCTAGCAAAATCTTTACTTGTAAGAATTTGCAGCTCTCCCGGGTTGTTAGGCTCTCGAATTCGCTGTATCTTGCATATTTTTTGGGTTATTGAATGCATTTGCAGTAAAAACTGGCAAGTACTGGTAACAATTAGTTGATATTGCATGGACCTACAGTCAGAGAAGAAATTATAATGGGTTTTTACTATAACTTTTTTTTATTTTATGCCCGATAAAAATTTTTTTATTTTGAAATCATAAAATATTTACAGAAAGCTCAAAGCGCTTAAAAAGTTTTCCACATATTTTATAAGGGGAAAAACACTTTTCGTAGAAATGGTATAGAATTTTTTGAAAATCAATATTTTTTGATCGGAGGAGATTCCCAATAATAATACCCAAAAATTTATTTAACCATTTTTTCATGGTAACTATATTTTATAGGTCCGCCAAGATCCCCAGAAACAATGAGGGGAACAATAAAAAATCATTAGTACTAAAAAGTTGGCAATTGGGTATTATTATTGGCATTTTAAACTTTTTTTCACACGTATGTATGCATTTTCGTTCTACTCTAATATACAGTGGTGGCCAAATAATTAGAGACACTACTTCTATGAACGTTTTGATTATTTATTTCTTATTTATTTATTAATTTTTTACAAAAATTTGGTGCATACTACAACGAAAGCCATTGCATAACTCAAAGTTTCAAACCTTGTACAAGATACATATGTAAAATTTTGCCAAATTTCAACAAATGGTCATCAAAATTTCAAATAGACCATTCAATTTCAGTATAATATCGTGCAAGTTTGAGCTCTGACCTTTTTTGCTGATGGTGACTGCTAATTTTCACCCACAATAAAAATGTTCGAACGGAAGGAAATGCTTGACACCGACAGCAAAAAATATAAAAAATTAAACAGATTTTTGAGCTACTTCAAACTTGCATAGTATTACAATAAAATTAAATGAACTATAAAACTGCAAACCCGATTTTATTAGAAACTATGATTAAAAACTTTGATGGTAACTTTTTGAAATTTAGCAATTTTTTTTTTTATAGTTCTTGAATGTACCTTCAAGGTTTAAAACTTTTTTTCATTGTAGTATGAAATATGTAATGAAAGAAACAAATGGTCAGAGCTTGTGAAGAGGTTGTGTTCCTAATTATGTGTCCACCATTCTATTTAAGTATTTAAACGTGTATAATTCTGCATTTTTCTTATCAGTGAGTAAACGTTTGATGAGGTCAGCGACCCAGCAGAAAGAAAGACAGACATTTCCTTTAAAATTAATTATTGAAATTCATTGTTTGTTGCCTTAATTAAAATTGTATTTGTATATTATGTGAAAAGACCATATCATTACATTAGGTTACTTTCACAATATCTACCATACAAAACGGCAACAAGCCATTCAATACATTTTGCGCTTGTTGGCTAATATATAGAGCCAACTTGAATGACCAACAATAAAGTTAGTGCCAAAGAGTAATAAAAAATGAATGTGCAAACGTAATCAAAGTAGGTACCTACACACAAACCTACTTATGTATGTCTACTTGTAAGTATATCGGCCCCATCACTACTGGATGTGTATTCATGTATGCATCTAATAGGTACACATCTATGTACATTTAGATTATTTAGACACACGAGTTATCGCAATGGGCGACCGCTTGAATGAATCATAGACCAGTCGATGCATGGCAAAGAGCATTGGCCAATTTGAAAGTAAACATACATATATGTATATGTATATATGTAAATGTGCACATACACATATATCATTGAAATACATAGCATATGCACATACAGACAAGTACATATGTATGTACATATATACCAAGACAATGTCTAATGGATAGAAGTCAATAGCCCTTTGCGGAATGAAGGATGGTAATATGTGGTAAGGAAATGTAGGGAAACTCATAAATGCGACCATCTAACTGGGTAAAAATTTACGTAGTATTTAGTTATACATACAAACATATATATCAAAACCGCACAAAACCGCGTATCGTGGTTCTGCAAAACCTCGTAACTGACATTTGTGACAAAAAGATATTTGATCACCGGAAGCTTCAGGCATCAAGCCCTTATCCATTAATCCTAAAATATTGATACTTAGATATAAGAAGGCGAGATATTTAGGGATAAAAGAGAGAACCGTTCTGAAATAAGAAAATTTTTACCCTCTCCTATAAAATTTAGGCAACCATACGCATTTTCTTGCTACGCGCTTTTGTACTTTAAACGATGATATGCACGCACACGCTATATATAGCAACTCGAACGTGACAAGAGACTCGGCCGGATTAAACTTACCGGAAGTTCTACCAGCATGCCTTCCTTTTCTTTTTTTTTGGTTCTGGTTTAGATATGTACATTCTATTCTTTTAAGTCATTCGCCTATTCATACATATGTATATTGTATTGTGATAAATTTCTATTTCGCTGTGTCTACTTACCTTTCGATTTTGCATGGAAATGCAAAGGCTGGTATGTCAGCCATAGTTTTCTCATCGCGATATCCCTCCGGAAAGCTCTCGACAACAACACAAGGTGGGGATGATGTGTGGCTGCCGCCTGTAGGCGTATTCCGCTTGTCTGCATTGTGCACCAACGCGACTTCGCACCAAAATTCGAATAGTTTCTTCACATCCGCTCTGGAAACAAAAATTTCAGGCATATTTTTTTATAAATATGTGGAATCAAAGCCAGAAGAAATTATGTGGCATGCATAACATAATTTCAAACTATTCAAATTAACTCCAAACCAACTGGAAAACTGGGGAGAAGTGCACTTGAGCGTAACGCCTACTGATTTATGGCCGCCACCGAATAGATGGCACACAGTACAATTATCTCGGCTGCACATTTTACGCTTACATGAGACAGTTCAGAGAGATGAGATGAGTAAAGAGTGCTTGATTGAGGTAGCAATAATTCTCATGGTCAGAAGTTCAACAATTTCTTACTTCCAAGTATTAGCATTTGAAGTAATGTTTAGTTCATTGCGATTACAGTTTTTTTTTTTGGGTAAGCTGCACCGCTTTTGGTTTATATTAGATTCTACTAAGCTAATGTATATTATATACTATATTATATACATAGTACATAAGTATGTATGTACATATTTTTAAACAAGTGACGTACGGCCGCGACACTCACTTTATACGGGAACTCATACTGGCTGCGCCTTGCACTGGCCGCCCTGTTGCCTCCAAGAATTTCCGCTTGCTCCCTTATGCGAAAATCATTATGTTAACTTATTTTAAACAATTTTACACTAAATTTCTTGATATTTAGTCTCTAAAACAACATTGGCTTTCAGTTATTACTTGGTATCTTTTCGTTACTTTTTCTACACTACTTCACTCTCGATTTCCGCACTTTTGTAAAGATTTTCAACTTCAGTCCCACAGGCACAGATAAAGCATTCTCTTTTTCACATTAGTTGAATAAAAATTAACAATTTATTCGGCCCGTTTCTACCTTTAATTGCCTTTACAAGCTAGACATAAAAAAATCAACGTCCCCGAGACAAAAGCAAAAACTGTGACTAGGAAAATAATCGCGAAACGTCAGACTGAAAATCAGGATGTCAGTTGAAAATGGAATGTCAAACTTGCTGGAATTTTTTTTTGGAATGCACTACCGGAAATCATTGAAGGCAATACCGGAAATCATTGGAATATACTACCGGAAGTACAGGGCGATAAGCGGTTTATCCAAGTTTCAAATGAAATGACAGTTCATTCAAATGAGTATCCAGGGTTGCCGCTGTCGGAAAAAATTACTTTTTGATAGTTATTTTAGTAAAAACTAGTTTTATTTTTTAGTCATTTTAATAAAAATTATAGTTATTTATTTTTTTTTTAGTTATTTCAATAAGAATAAAATTTGTTTAAAGAAACTTTTTATTTAACTAATTATACGGTATTTGCGATCATATTAATGGCATATTCTCAGTTTCCTTCAACCGAAAGCGAAACTGATGGAAACTAAAGGCAACAACGGCATATACAAGGACTCAAAAAAGCAATTGGTGATTTTTTTTAATATTCATGTTTTTAATATGTTTTTCAAGTAAAAATGTTTTGTTGCTTTAACTAAATCCATAAAAAGGATTCCAGCTATAAACATTTAGAAAAATTAAAAAAATTATCGTCTAAATTTCGAATTTTTTACTCTGAATTTTCACAGCATAATATTTATAGCAAATGAGCTGCTTAAAATTCCCGTTGATTTTGTAAACTTTTGCGTCACCTGTCTTTTGTGTTTTTTTTTTTTTTATTTAACGATTTCCATTGATAAAAAATGCCGTTGATTTAATTTTTTTTGCGAACAATGATAGTTCATATTTACATACATACCAGTCAATTTTTTCTTTTTATTTAAATAATCATTTAAAATATTTAGACAATCAAAACGAAAAATAAAGCAGGAACGAAAAGTTCAACAAAAATCTACCAAAATGAGAAAAATTGTAAATGGCAACTGTGAGTGTCAAAGTGTGTAGAGTTGCCAGACTTCGCTTGGGTAATTTGAGCAAACAAATAAGGGAAATTATTTGGAACATTTGGTGGTAGTTCAAAAGGAAGTTTTTTTACCGGAAGCGGAAGCGGGTAGACATGTTCTTCCGTGGTGCAAGTTAAAAGTGTTTAGTGCTTGTGAATATATTAAAAAGGCTGCTGCAATTCTTTACACATTCCAGATACTCTCATCTCACAGGCAGAATAAACAGAGTGCGTTTTAACTACACTTACATACATATTTGGTGACATTATCTGGGACGTTCTTACAAGATTTGTACAATTAAAAATTTGAGGAGAAACGTTAGCGGCCGCAATGTTGTTGTTGTTATAGCGGCACTACTAAGCCCCGCCTATTTCGGTTTGCCCAGCTCAACTAACGGTGGGCCCAAGAACAGGCAGTTTCAACAGGGCCGGACCAAAGGGAGAGGGGTGTTAGTTGAGTGGGATTGTGCTGGCACGTGAAGAGGTGGTTGGTATCGTTCGGGGAGTCTCCACATGCCGGACACTCATTGGGTTATTGGCCAGGTGGCTACAGTATCCAGAGGGTCAAATCTCGTTCGACGTTATTGCGAAGTGATAAAAATAACAGTTTTACAACGCATTTATTTTAGTGTTAATTTTATTTTTTCCACTTCACGATAACGCAGAACGGAAATTGACCCTCTGACCGTAACTGGGCAAGGGCTTAGCGGCCGCAATCGCAAAATTTAGGGTTGCTTTTACAATACAAAAAACGCACCTCACCTTACAGTTTCCTTCGAAAACGACTACTCTCTGCTTTTGGAACTTTTATCTGTCTGCCGTGATGTGGAACGAGGAAAAGACAAGGTATCCCCTGTAAACAAGCAGTCAGCGCTTGCCTACTGTCCACGTTCACCTGCAGACTTCTCTTTTCCATTGTGGAAAATACAGAACAAACGTAGCGTTAGTTGAGGCCCATGATTTTGCCGGCAAACGCCAAGCTCCGATTCATTTCCACCACTGGCTTAGGTGCTGATAACTTTGAAACTTTTCGCACCCATGAATTTCAGTATCCCTTTTTCTTGTATGGAAAATTCGTTTCGCTCCCCTCTGTAGCCCTCTATATCGATCCCACATAGCTCATGTTGCGCTCAACCGCAGCGGGGCACCGTAGGCGGCATCTATTTTCTCTGCACCGGCTTAACATTCCTCCTCACACCAGTGGTTCTTTCGGGCTCTTCGGGGCGGCATGTAGTGAGTGGTAGAAGTTCGAATCTGTTGAAGTTTTTCGTGTTGCAACCTACTGCTGCAGACCGCCACGTTTTGGTCCCTTCAAAGCGTTGCCGAGCGTTTCGTCATGGAGGCTGGATTTTCCGACGTTACAACAAAATTTTCCTTCCGACTTTGATGTCGTGACGTGGACAGACGCTCATAAAAGTGCCTTAGGTCTCCTCGTCCTTCTATTCCGTCGGGGCGCGGCCACAGTGGAATGAGATGTTGAAGAATATTGCCGGAATTAGGACAGTAGCGAGAAACTCGTACTTCGGGGAGAACAACAGTACTTATCGACATTCCCGCCACAGTCGGCTCTACGTAACCGGAACTATTTATGTAAGTATATCTGGCAAAGGACCGTCACTCCAGCATTATTCCTCAAAAGCTGTTTGGGGAATTTGTATGCTGTTACAACAACAATGTTTGGCGACGAAGCTTCTCTTCCACCACAAATCCAACGAATTTTCGTATTGTGGACAGATTTTCCGTCATCCCTTTGTCGACTTTGCTTTGGAAACAAACCGGTTTCGGCCTTGTGCCACCGTCAGTGTCAATTTTCGTGCTCTTTCGTTACTATTCGTGCTTGAATGTTTATAATTCGTGTTAATGTTCGTTGTTTCTTAAAGAGGTACGCCTACCGGAACCTATTTTTTTGAGTCCCAACAGGCGTTTGTTGTTCTTGGGTGTGTATCCGCAGCAGGAAGGTAAAAATCAGTCACTTCATTCCCTGGGTTTCCGTAGTTTGGATCTGTGTTCCCTTGTTCGTTGTTGTTGTAAGGCTTTTGTCCTGTTCTACTTAAAGTAGAAAAATTGCTTCACATAAATTGTTCGCCTTTGTGAAACAACATCAAGGCGCACGCCACAAATCGGAGGAGAAGCTCGGCCCAAACACTAACACATTGCGTATAAGCGCCAATCTATTAAATTAGGCACTTCATAAGAAACTAAATTTGCAGTAATTTGTTTTGGACGTTAATTTTAACTTTAATATCGTCGCAAGATCGAACTCTACTCATGGTCTGCCTGTACGTAAAGCAATCCTCTTTTAGGAAAACACCGACTCTTGCTGATTTTGAGAATCATTTATTGTTATTGCGAACGCTACATAAATTTTGAATTGGAGACCTTTCACTACAACAGGAAGTTTTGAATCTCTGGGCTATAAATTTATACCAGGTAGTAAAATTCTTTTCCCCATGTCATTTAACTGTTAAAAGTTCGGCGTTCAAACAATTATAGTGCAGATCTTTAACTATATGAGGCGAGACCATTAAATATGTATGTACTTATATTGCCAATTAATATCACAACGAGAGTTAAAACAATTATTAGCCGCCATCGATTCGCCACTTCTCTGCTCGCTCGTTTGAGTTCCGGTCGCTTAACGAAAAATTTTGTATGTGAAAGCAACAACAAAGTTAGCTAGCATCGATGGACGATAGCGAGTTTGGTTGTACCTTATTGAAATCGTTCGTTTCGCCACTAGGCAAGTGTGTAGGCTATAGTCTATGGCGGCTATTGTTGTTGTTTGAAATTGAAAATGAGATTGTGTTTGTGAATTTCAGTTTAACCTTTTAAAACTAGATACTAGAGTTGCTGCCTATCAAAATGAATGTAGCAATGCTTTGTTCGATGTAAAATCGTAAAAATTATTTCCGCCCAAATTTTATCGAAAGTAGTGTAATGATTCTTAAATCTAAAATGTTTGTAAAAAATTCCAGGTCGAGCCCTTTAATTTGATATATAACTTATATCTATACGATTAGTAGATCGCTGGGAATAAGCGCCTCGTCTTAGAATAATATATAGATATTTGTTTTCGTGGGTTTATTGATTTTTATTTAACTGCTGATTATTCTTTATTTTAAACCTTTTATTAATGGTAGAAAGAAATAAACTTAAGGGAAAATTAAAAAAAAAAAAACTTAAAAAATTACTTTCTAAATCTAAAATGAAAATGTTTGCGTCAATGATTTTTAAATATATACAATATACATACATACGCAAAATCAAAACCAAGAATTCATATTAATATATGTATGTATAATATTAAGTTACTAAGCATTGAAAATTCTAAACAATTCAATATTTATTTAGAAACACGAAATGCTTTACATGTACATACGTAAGTATCCATTACCTTAATTCGCAAAGGCCCTTACCATCAAATTTTCTATTTTACAGCAGAAACAGCAAACACCGTTAAAAAAAGTATGTAAATCAAAAACTGCAGATAGGCCTTTTTAAAAAGAGGCATAAGTCCCTTGTTTTTGATACTAACACTTTAAATTTTTAGAGGTGTATTTTTTAATACATCCTACCAAAATCTGTGAAAAACGCAGTTTCGAAAAGTGTTCATTAGGGCCTTTGTGTATTAAGGTCACGGTAAAATGTACGTATCTTTTATTTGGGTTTGTTTTTTTTTCTTTCAAATGAAACGCATACGAATTCTATACAATTTTTAGAAATCATTTTATAGTGAACAACTTACTGTGGGTATGCATGGAAACGCGTAAATGCTTCGTAACCGCGTGAACCCCGTAAACAAACTGATTTTCCATACAAAATAAAATAAGTTTACGAGGTTTGGATAGTTACGAGGCATTTACCCGTTTAGATGAATAGCCCTAGTGATTTTTTTTTATCAATTTGTAAATAATTTTAATATTGATAGTACCCAGCAATTCGAAATTCAGCAATTCGAAATCCAGCAATTAAATATACTCACTTTGCAAACAATCGGTTTCAATCAACTCAATGTTCAGCAGCGTAAATGTAATAAATACCGAGCTTATGATTTTATACGCCCTGGCGTACAAAAGTTACTCTAAATAATTATGCATTAGATGTAAACTAAG